TGGCCATCATCTACTGGGCCTTCTTGTTACTATGGACATTTTTGTGTCTTGTCTTCTTATTTCAGTCCATCTGTGGAGATAAAGCAAAAGTTATCTTATGGAGCTATTTTCCAGTATGCCTTCCCTATGTCCTTCAGTTCCAGATTTTATCTAAAATATATGATCTGTTTATTGATTGTAACTGCTCTGTTCACTCCCATTGGCTGTGGACAGCCTGTTGGTTGCCTATTCAATATCCATTCTCCTGTCTTCCTTATTAACAGAGTCCCATTTTGGGGGTGGAGGCAGTAATGTGCCCAGATAAAAACATTCCCAGGACCTTTTTTAGCTTACAACTAAACAGGAACACAAGTAGGACTTCGGGAAAAGCCCATTCAAGGGCACTGACTCTACGGGCTCATGGACATTTGCTCTATCTTTTTTCCTCCTCCTTTCTACCTGGAGTACAGCTTGAATGATGGAAGCCACAGAAAACTGTTGTGAGCATGAAAGGTGAAGGTCCACCCTAGGAATGGTGGCGTTATAAGCTAAGGGCAGCTTGTGTCCTTGATATGAAGCTGCCATACTAGCCCTGGATTTCCTGCCCCTTGACTTCTCATAATGTGAGAAAAATAAACACTCCCATTGTTTAAGCCAGCATTATTCGAGTTTTCTGTTATATGCCGCTGAATGTAATCTCCACTGGCTCCAATCTAAGACAAGAACAAAATAGGCCAGGAATTCAGCTTTATTGGATGAGCCTTTCTTTGAACACCTACTAGTTGCTCACATAGTAGCCTGAACAGGTGCCATCACAGGGTGCATAGCATAATAAGAGTATTCACTTAGTCATGTGACAAAAAAAAATGTCCCCCTATTCCCTATCCCTGGTTAGTGTATGTGTATGTCTCTTGTCCAGATACTAGGTCCATGTATTATAAGACCTAATATTACAGATGTTGCCTTGACATCTTTGAACATCACAGGGCCCAAAGACCGAACTGTGAACCCATTTATCTCACCAGATATGCCCCCACCAGCAGGAAAGGCTCCCTGCCTGGCTGCTGCTCCAGTCGGCTCCCAGCTGAATGCCACTCAGTCCTCAAACTAGGATTTCACCTTCCTGTCAGCCCTCCAAATTATTTGAACAAGTCAATTACATAATCCTGCAGTGACCAAGGGCCATCCCACCCTCTTATCACTACAAAGCTTGCCTCGCATAGCCCCTATGGGTTCCCTGCATGCGAGGGTGCAGTCCCCATGTAGCTCCGCGCACTGTGCACTGTCCTGCCCTGGGCTGTGAGTATACATCACTAATGAGCTGCTGCCAGTTTCACCTATCCAGTGTTCGGTGTCATAGGTTTGGCCATCTCATACTCTTGAAGGTGGGGATCCTTCCTTCACCAACAGGGTGAATAGGAGGTTATCAGAACAGTCCACTTACTCAACAAACACTGTTTGAAGCCTCTTGGGCACCAGACACTCTCCTAATGTCTCACCTGAGGGTTTTGGCCAGTTCACTGTGCATTCAGTGAGACCAAGGAATAACAATGGAACATTCTTGGGGTATGTGGATAAAATGAGAGTTCCTGTGGCCAGGATTCTCACCTGGCCCTGGTTGACTAGCTCACTGCACACCTGTGGACAACACATGGCTATTGACTCTATATAAAGAGCTCTGCCCGGTGCTGTGGGCACAACACAGTGGCACGGCTGCAAGGCTGCAGGAAGGCAGAGGCTGGAGTGGTGGCAGCACTGAGGAGAGAGGCCCAGAGGACGGCTGTGTGGGACAACTGCAGAGAGGCCCAGAGGATGGCTGTGTGGACAGAGGGCCTAGAGGACGGCTGAGTGGACAGAGGAGCCCAGAGGACGGCTGTGCGGACAGAGGGGCCCAGAGGCAGAGACCAGCGTACTGCATGCTGACTTGCTCTGAGTGAACAGGATTTTAGTGACTGACCTGCAATCTGAAAATAAAGCTGGGTATAACCTTTTCACCCTAAGAACGTTCTGTCAATTTCTTTGGTCACATTGAATCCATACTGAATTTGCCTGGGGCTGAAACCCATTGGTAAGACAGGGTAAAAGGGTTTATATCTGGCTTTATTCTCATGGTGGTAAGTGGAGAACTAGAATCACATCTGCATTCAGCATTGTGCAGGTCTGTAATCCACCTTCGTCTCTGCCTCTGCCCACAGCACTGGGCAGAGTTATGCAGTGACTCAGTCAGTAATAGCTCATCGCCTGTGGGTGTGGAAGCAGTAGCCTAGCAGGCCAATTACATCATCAAGTAGTTTAGGGTCAGGTGAGGATCCTGGCCATACGAACTTTCCTTTTCCCCACAGCTAAGAAATGGTTATAAGGGTGAGCAAGATAGATACAAAACCTGCCCTCAGGATATGCATACTCTGGTGGGGAAGACTAACCAAGACAGCCAGGAAATAAATGCAGTCACTGCAAGTTGTGATGGGTGTTAGACAGAATAGAGAATTAGCCCAGGGTGGCAGAGGAGGGGGAAGGTTGGGGGATGTGAAGTCAGAGAATGTAGTCATGGCAGACTCCCTGAGGAGGTGACATAAGGAAGACTTCAGGGAAGAAAAGAGCCAGCTATGTGAGGACCAGGGGAAGAGCCTTTCAAAAAGAGGAAACAACACATTCTAGGGCCTGGGAGCAAGGAGTGGGGTGGCAAGAGATTCAAGTGGAGAGATGGAAGGAAATAGATAAAAGAGCCTTAGTCTGCTCAAGCTACTATAACAAAAACACCGTAGACTGGGGGACTTTACAACAAACATTTATTTTTTACAGTTCAGGAAACTGGGAAGCATGAGATCAAGGCAGCGGCAGATGCAGTGTCTGGTGAGAGCCAGCTCCCTGGCTCATCAACCAGCCATCTTCTGGCTGTGTCCTCACCGGGTGGAGGTGGAGCAGGCAGGGTTTCTCCCTGGGGTCTTTTCTTTAGAATTTTTTCCCATGTTTGATTGTAAGCTCCTTGAAGACATGCTTTAATTGTCTTTATACCCTCAGCATCCCAGCAGTAGTAGGCACTCCCTAAATGTTAGTTTAATCGATGAATAAGTGTATGTTAGGCATTGAGATATACACACTATGGTTCTCAAACAGTTTATTATCCACTTACGGTGGTCAGACTGTATACCATACACAAATGTGTGGCAGAGTCTCAAAAGCACTGGAGGTTATGTGAAAGAGCTGTGAATGTTGCTTGATCACAGCAGGGAGAGATTACTTCTAGTGTAGAGGCATCAAACTTGGGACAGGCTTCACAGAAGAGAAAACATACGTCTGGGCCTTGAGGCTGGAGAGAATTCCCACCAATAGAATGAGTAAGAGATGAGTACATGCCAAGTAGAAGGATCGGTGAGAACAAAGACAGAGAGGGGAGGCTTTCCATTTCTTCAGTGCATGACCAGTTGTGAGTTTGACGTTCTTGGGGTAAAAGGGTTTATATCTGGCTTTATTCTCCTGGCAATAGGTCAAGCACTGGAATCACATCTGCACCCAGCAGTCTGCAGGTCTGTGATCCACCTCTGTCTCTACCTCCTCCCAGAGCACTGGGCAGAGCTCTTTATATAGTGACTCAGTCAGTAATAGCTCATCGCCTATGGGTGTGTGGAAGCAGTAGCCTAGCAGGAGGCCAATTACATCATCAAGTAGTTTCGGGTCAGGTGAGGGTCCTGTTGCTAGGTTAACATCGTTACCATCAATACCATGGTTTGACATTTTATTGACTGCACATACAACATGCCAGGCACCCAGAAAAACCCTTCCCACACCTCATCTTATTTAATACCTAATTTTTAATATGACTTAAGTTGACCCTTGTCTTCTGACTTCTACTCCATGTGTCTTGCCAATGGGTTTCAGCCCCGGGCAAGTTTGGTATGGATTCAATGTGACAAAAGAAATGACAGCAAAATGTTCTTGGGGTGAAAGGGATATACTCAACTTTATTTCCAGGTAGTAGGTCAGTCATTAAAATCCTGTTCACTCAGAGCAAGTCTGCATGCAGCAAGCTGGTCTTTCCCCTTGCCTCTGGGCCCCTCTGTCCACACAGCCATCCTCTGGGCCTCTCTGCACAGTTGTCCTACACAGCCATCCTCTGGGACTCTGTCCTTGGTGCTGCCACCAGCCTCGGCTCTGCTCTCCTGAAGCCTTGCAGCCCTGCCACCGTGTCACGCCTAGAGCACTGGGCAGAGCTCTTTATATAGAGTCAACAGCCATGTATTGCCCACAGGTGTGCAGTGAGCTAGTCAACCAGGGCCAGGTGAGAATCCTGGCCACAGGAACTCTCATTTTATCCACACCATGCTATTCTGGTTCACAATGACTTGAATCACTTAACATAAAAAAAAAAAAAATCATTAGAGCTCAGTGCAATTCAGAAAGCGACCTGCCGAATACCCTCATTTCCAGATTTGGGACGGAGATTCTGAAAGGTGAAGTGCCTTGTCCAAGGTCTGGCTGGAGTTGGCTCCAGTTGCAGCGCTCTTGATAAGACAGACGCTCTACAGCCAATTACCTTTGCTTTACCCAGTCCACATAAATAAAAAGACATGATATCTCTTTTTAATGCACTAATCTAATGGCGAATAGTTATTACTGCTAATGATCTATTATCCGTGACATGCTTTTCGATATATCGTGCCCTGGAAACCACATTTTTTCGCATCCCCCTCGAGGCTCATTCTGCGGTTGTGCAGGTGGCAGCGGCAGGGCGGCCCTTTTGTGACTGGGTGACTCGAGGCGGCACTCAGACTTCACGACAGCCAATCGGAGCTCGGAGCCACAGAACTGCACCAATCGGAGATTACTGAAAGCTCAACAAGGGCCAACTGGGGGCTCGACCCGGGAACAGGGAGAGCCGCGGACAGCGATCAATCAGGGGAAAGGAGCGGAACACCGACGCCCAATCAGTGGCCTTCAGACCTCGGTCGTGGGCGGTGCTGGCGCGAGGCCCGCGGGCCGACCAATCAGCGGACGAGCGGCTGCCTGCACGCGAGTCGGGGGGAAGGGGCGGGGCCTGTCAGTGCGGACCGAGGGTGGGCGCTGCGAGGACCCAGGCAGGGTGAGGAGGGCTGGGGACCCGGGTGCGGGGTGGGGGCTGGGGCGCGTGAGGGCCTGGGCGGCGGCGCACGGGGCAGGGGCACGGGCACGGACACGGGCTGTCGCTCGGCTGACCGAGCTACGAGATGAGGTGGGGAGGAGTGAGGGACCCAGAACCGGGCTGGGGAGGTGGCCGTCTCCGGCCCGGTGGCGGGGGAGGAGGGGACACTGTTGCCATGGAAACACATGTGTGCGGACTGGCTACCTTTCTCTCCCCCCGACCCCCCACCGAACGTGCGCACACCTTAAATTGCCCCTCTGTCCGCCCCCGCCCCAAATGGCCTCCATCATCCGACTCGCCGGCTGGGATCAGCGCAAAAATAACCCACTTTGGCAGCCGCCTGGCCTCGCCACATCCCAGCTACTCGTCTCTTCCCCTCCCTCCTGCCGTCTGGTCCGCTGGCAGAAGGATTCCGCTCGCCCTGGAGCAACTTGACATCAGGCCTTTGCGGTGTGACCACCTGGACCGATTCTCAGCCAGTCAGTGGAGGGGCATAGCCGGGGTCTGCGCGGCCGCCTCTTCCAGGGATCTGGCACCCCGGAGATGCTGCCACCTGAGGACCTGGGTTATCCCTCAGAGGGATTTTTTTTAGGAGACATCCAACGGAGAGCCTCGTGCATAACAAACACTCAGGGAGTGGAGTCTGAATGAATAGACCAGTGACAGCTGTCCGTCCCCTGCATCGGTGCTGTCCAATAGAAATATAAAGCGAACCACACAGTAATTTTACTTATTCTAGAACCACGTTAAAAAAATAAAATAGGTTAAATTAATTTCGCTGTATTTTATTTAACCCAGCATATCAAAATATACATGTTAAATATAATCATCACATTAATAGTAAAAATGTAATTAATCATTACTAACTTACTAATTTAAGGTATCAAATTCCTTTTTTCATACAAAGCCTTCAAATTCTGGTGTGTATCTTATACTTACAGCACATTTCAGTTGGGACCACCTACATTTCAGGTATTAATGGCCTCATTTGGCTAATGGCTACAGCCACAAATATTTCTTATGTGTTTGTGAGTTGTGGCCAAATACTTGAAACTCACCAGTATTCTCTGAAGCCCTCTCTTGTAAGCAAGGAGCACTGTGCAATGAGGTAATAAAAAACTTGAGGCAATAAAAAACTTAAAGCAATAGTAAAGATAACTGGACAGTATATGATTTGTTGACAAATGAGATAGCTGATAATTATTCTTAGGAATTCAAGGGAGGGATACTTCAGGCTAATACAGCAGAGAAAGATGAGTCTAGTCTTGAAAGATGGCTAAGAACTTGGACTACTGCGAGGGTGGGGGAAGGTGTTTTGCTTGAATGGAACTGACCACAGCCTTTTTTGTTTTTAGGGTTGAAAATTTGCACAGTTCTGAGGCTTCCAGATCGAAAAAGACTTTTCTCTCTCACTGACAGGCTCCACCATGATTCATAGCCTTTTCTTGATCAACTCCTCTGGAGATATTTTCCTGGAGAAACACTGGAAAAGTGTGGTCAGCCGTTCTGTCTGTGATTACTTTTTTGAGGCACAGGAGAGAGCAACCGAGGCAGAAAATGTACCTCCAGTTATCCCCACCCCTCATCATTATCTCCTAAGTGTTTACCGTCACAAGATCTTTTTTGTGGCTGTGATCCAGACGGAGGTCCCACCTCTATTTGTCATTGAGTTTCTTCACCGAGTAGTGGACACATTTCAGGTGTGTGAATGTGAGGAGGTTTATAGGTATAAATTGAAAAGTGTCTTTATTGGTCTGTTTCCACAGCATTCAGCCTGAATTAAGGAACTTAGAGAAATATCGAAACTCTGCCATTGTTCACTTCCTCTCCCATCTGATGAGATTCTTGTTTCTATTTTTATTGACTTGGCTCTATTTAAAATGACAAATTGGATGCTTTTGAACCTGTTGCATGAGAAAGCCACCCTACTTGGTATGATTGCTTACAGTCTTTCGTTCTGGAGATTGGAATTGTCCTAGAGCAGAGGAGTTTAGTTTCTTTTTTAATAGTGGACTTGATGCTACCCATTGTTAGCTACACTTGGACTTGCATCAAAAGAGATTAGTGTGTAACAATATATGTGGTAGAAAAAATTAAGTAAAGCTTGTTTCCCTTTCCCTGGCAGGAGTAACTTGTGAACCCAGACTTCAGTTTGGGCTCGGGCTACTTATCCACAGTATATGGATACTGTGAGTACTAGTCATGAGCTCTCCTTGCAAACTTAACATTGGGAAATCTTCTGTTCCTATAAGAATTTAAGTGACACATTTTACAAGATAGTTTTCATTTTGAGTTTTGCTTTCAGGAATAGATTCAAAGATCTTGGGGAGTGGGATGTAGGGAAAGTTAAGTTGTACCAGGATGTCCACACCATTGAGGCTGTGCAGATCGTGGATTCAGACAGTGGACTCTTCTCCCTAACAGAATGTGCAACTTCTCAGACTCTTGTGGTTATTGGCGTAACTCAAATGATAAATGAGAAGCAAGGGCCCTTTGGTATAGCTTCTATATCATGTGAGGTCTGGAATTAGTCACGTGAATACAGGAATTGTGGAGAGAAGGTAAGAATGAGGACCCAGCCATTAGGATAAAAATTAAAATACAAGTCAGAGAGTCTGTTCATTTGTACTCATATCGACACTGTATGTCTAGAATGGTTTTCATTCCAAGAGAATTAAAATTTATTCTATAATTTTTTCCCAAAATGCTTTCTGGTAGTACTATTTTGAGATTCCGATTCTCATGTGGCACACTAGTTTATTCGTACAGTGAGAACCTGGAATTATAAACCCCTGCAGGTGGAGGAACTGGAGGCTGAAGATTGTTAATATGATTAACAATCCCATTGGTGAAAATCAACATCTGTTTCATATCGCCCTGCCAATATTATATAACTTATTACAGGGCAGGTAGTGAGAAAAGTCGTTTGATCTAGGTGAAACCACAGAGGAATTTGAGAAAACAGTAAAATTGCTAGTTTAGAAGCCTGAGACTTCAGAGTTTGTTATTTTTGAAGCATCTGTTAAATGCCTTATCTGCCGTGCCTTCTCTCGGCTGTGTTATTCTCTAGAGCTAGACTGCGAGGGGAGGGCACCAGCTGTAGGGCCGCGGGCCCTTCTGCTCTCCCACTTTGGCACACCTCCAGGTCTCCTTTCTGAATGCTCAGTTCACATTATACCTGATTTATGGGGTCTAGTGAGGTGTTTTATTTATTTTTCAAAATGAAATCACTCTTGGGAAGGACATATATAACTTTTTAACCTTAAATCCTCATTTTTTAAGAAGAAATCTTTTTGTCTTAGAAACACTTTCTTGACTCCCAAGTGCTTTTGAATATTGGAATGTCTCTGATAATTCATATGATCTGCTGTAATTTAGATCACGTCTGGAGTCTGTTCAGTTTGGGATGTCATAATTTGAAGAGAATTTTGGAAAACTAGAGCATATTCAAAGAAATGGCAAAATGGTGACACGATCTAGAAACCATACCATAGCAGGGAACAGTGGAAGGATCAGGAAAAAAATTGAACTAAAAGCTTGTTGTTGTCTTAAAAAAACTGCAGGGCTGTTATGTAAACTTGTTCTGTAAGTCAGATCTAGGTAGGAAAATTTTCAGTTTAGCAAAGAGAGACCTTTCTAATAATCAGAGCTACCTGTGAGTAGAACAGGCTTTCTCAAATGGGGTGAATTTCCCTTCAGTAGGTGAGTTCAGGGAGGGTTGTGTGCCCACAGGTCCAGAAGATGTGACTGACATTGCTGGAAGGGCACAGCAAATGGCTGCAAGCACTACTTCCTAAGTAGTCTCATAATCAGGCATCACATTTTACATAGTGTTTATAGCTTACAAACCCTCTCACCCACATTATATTTACTCCATCATGTGAGGTTCTTACAGCATTCCTGTGCAACTGGTGGTATTATCATGATCATTCTATTAAAGAAATCAAGGCCCAAATTAGTTGGCATGCTAAATCTAGTAAGTGACAAGATTATAACGTCGGTCTTCTGATTTGGAAATCAGTGCCTTTTCCACAAGGCAGATAATTTAGTATCTAAATTTAGCCTTTGTGAATGAAAGGACAAGGCATTGTTAGAATCCTAGCATCTTAGAGTAGAGATGATCCAAAGAGATTATCTGGTGTGCTAGCTCATCCCCCTCATTTCACCATATGTCTCTCTTAATTCTTTTTGCTGCATGAATGTTAAGGAATAGCACAACGGTAAGGGTTAAAAAGATTTTCAGGTCCAGTCTATGTCATAGCAAGTATTATCATTTTGCACAAGTCTCTCAAATTCTTCTTCATAAGCACATATAATATATTCAGTTTTATATTCTATGTATTTTATCTAGCTGAAGAAACTAACCCAAAGAGGTTAAATGACTTACTCTAGTTTATAAAAGAAGTTAACAATGACACTCGTACCGTAAGCCAATCCTTTGGTCTTTCTACAAAACCAGGCTGCCTAAGAGAACTGAGGTTATGCTTCTTCCCTTCCTCAAGAAGAATATCTCAGCAACACAGTCAACACAAATGCACAGGGCTAGATCCTTTAACTCTAGGAACATTCACTTACTACAATCTGTGAGTGATGCCTGTATATATTGTATTTTCATCAGGATTATTTTGGAGTCTGTTCAGAGCCAGTGATCAAGGACAATGTGGTTGTGGTTTATGAGGTATTGGAAGAGATGCTTGACAATGGGTTTCCATTGGCTACCGAGTCAAACATCCTCAAAGAACTGATAAAGCCTCCCACTATCCTTCGAACCGTTGTCAACACCATAACAGGTATGGAGGAAAGGGAAAGCCACAGACAGCTGCTGCTGTCCTGGGTGTGGCTTAGTCTGGTGTGTGCATTGTATTGAGTGCTTGTCTCTGGGGATCTCAAATATCCAGGTGTTTAATTTTGCTCTTACTGTCTTTGAGTACAACCTGAAATGTGTTTTTGTTATTTAGAAACTACCCTGATTTTAATGGCAGCATGGAGTGTTCTCCTTTAAAAATAACTTTTTTTTCTGATTATAGAAGCAACACATGATTATTGTAGAAACATTGGAAATACAGAAAAGCACAAAGAACATGAAAATAACTCTTAATTCCATTATACTTTGAACATACTGGTGTATATATTTTTTGTCTTTTCTAGACAGATGATGGATGGATAGAAATTTTTTAACCAACAACTCTTGTATATTTAAAAAACTTAACCTTTTATCAATATTTTGTAAACATACCCCATTATGATTAAATATTTACCTACATCATTTTAGTGACTGATTTTCTGCCACATGAATAGGCCCTAGGTTATTTACTCAGTCCATTTGTGATGTTTGTGATTTTTTCTTTTAAATAACAGAGAATTAGTGTTCTTATACTTAAATTTTGTGCACATCTAGGATGAATTCTTTTCAGTACTAGAAATCAATGGTGTTAGCTCAAAGAGTGTGCACATATTAAGGATTTTAATGCAGTATGCCAAATTGCCATACAGAAAGGTTATACCAATTTATACTTTTAAATAGCAATTTCTAAGTACCCTAGCCAACCCTGTTATTCTCATTATTAAGTTTTTTAAAAACTTTGGTCATTTAATAGTTTAGTGATATCTTGTTATTTACACTCATTTTTTATTGCTGAGGAAGTTAAACCTCTTCAAGCCTTTCTTGGCTATTTTTCCTCTATTGTGAATTACCTTTCTGTGTCCTTTGTCCATTATTTTTGTTGAAATATTTTTCTTTTTTCATGCTAATTTGAAAGAATTCCTTTCACTTAAGGATGGTAAACTATCATATATGTTGGAAATACACATGACAGTTTGTAAGAGTTTTGTATATATTTTGAATTCTCTGTTACAGATATTTTCTTACAATCTGTCATGTGTCATTTAACATTGTTTATGGTGTTATTTGTGTAGCCATATAAAATTTTTTTTTACTTAGTCAATCATTCTGCTTCATTAAGGTTTTACATTTTGGGTCTGGCTTAATATAAAAAGCTTTGTCATGGAATTTGACAAGCTGAAAAATATATTTGAAGAAGTATAAATATGTAAGAATAGCAGTATAAATTTGAGAAAGAATCACAAAGGGGTTTGGAAGGATTTGTCCCGTCAGTATCAAAATATACCAAGTTCATATAGTACATGAGACAAAAACTCATAGGGTAGATAGGCTGTAAAAGCCAAGACAGTTTTGAAAATGAACATTTTTAAAAAAAGAGCAAGAGATAAAATGTATCCTAGCAGATAAAAGATATATTATGGAGTTTTGGTAATTTAAAAAATATAGTATTGACCAGTAATAGAAAAATAAAATAGGTGATTGGGATAAAATAGAAAGTCCAGAAACAGACCCTTGCTTTTATAAGAATTTGTTATAGATAAATGAGCTATATATCAAATCAGTGAGCTAATTGTTAAATATATTATGTTGGGACAGTCAGCTCTGACAAAAAATGAAGTCCCCCTACTCATTCTATACACAAAATAGATTCCAAATAGGTCAGAGTTAAATACAGACTTTATGCTATTAGAAGTAAATAGGCAAATGTCTTTTTGATCCCACAGAAGAGACAGTTTTCCTTTTTAGAAAGTATATTTTCAAATTCTTTTGCAGCTTTATTTTTAGATTTAATTCTTTAATCCATTTGGAAATTATGTTGGTATACAATATAAGACAAGGCTTTGTATTTATTTCTACAAAATCATCATATTTCCTAGCACCATTTATCGAATAATTTATCTCTTTTCCCTGTTTTAAAATGACATTTATACCTTATACTAAGTCCTCAGGATTCTTGGTTTGTTTTTAGCTTCCCTGCTTTATTACCATATTGCTATAGTTATTATAGTTTGATGACATATTTCCATACATAGTGCCTCTTTTTAAGAAAAACTTGTTGGATTTTTCAGTATTCTGGATTCATGTTAAAACTTAAAAGCTTTGTTAGTGCTTGAATCATTTATGAATATTCTGAAGTCATTTTCCTAAATTTCACTTAAATCCAGGAAAAGGTATCTGAACCACTTTTGAAGAGCTGAAATGTTTTATAAACATGCTGCAAATAGGTGTGTTTAAAGTTTCTTCCTTTAAAGAGATCCAAGTTGCAGAAGAAGGAGATTAATTTTAAATTAGTTACAGTATTTCAGAGTTTCAGTATAGAACTTTTGAATTAGAAAAATTCTTTTTTGATGCCGGGGGTGTGATGGGCAGGGTGGGGGACAAATCAAGGAATTAATTAACTTTTGGCTCTTGTAGACAGGAAAAGATCTAATTTGTATTCTTTTCCTAAGTTTCAGTTTGGCATAAGAGAGTTTATGTTGATATATACATTTTAATACCTAGCATATATTACCTAAGAACCCACCTCAAACTAGAATACTTTTTGATATAAAATTTTCGCCTGGATTTTTTTTATCAATATTTAAGTTACCATCCCTACTGAAAGCCAATACATTAAGCTGCAAACTATTATGGAATTTGAGAGACTGAGTTCAGGTTACTTGCAAAAAGCAAAATATGATATCTGTTTATCAGGTAGCTTTTTAAACCTTTATTCTGCTTGAAGGAGGCAGACCAGGTGCAACAGGTTTTTTAAATAGACTAGGTTACCCATGTAGAAGTTGGGAACATTTATATCTTTCTTTTTTAAATTCTTCAATTGACTGCATGAATAGTGGGAGCATAGAAACTTCTAGGAAGCAGTGTTATGTGATTATCAGATGATTGACTATACTGAATTATCAAGTTGGAATTAAATTATAGTAATATTCACTGCTCAGGAAGCACAAACGTGGGTGACCAGCTTCCCACAGGGCAGCTGTCAGTGGTGCCTTGGCGACGGACAGGAGTGAAATACACCAACAATGAGGCCTATTTTGATGTGATTGAAGAGATTGATGCCATCATTGATAAATCAGGTAGGTGATTTTAAGCTATTCTCAGAACTATAAACATAGAGACCCCTTTCATATAATGCTTGCTGGTATCAGAATTACTTGCTAGTAACAGAATCTCTGTTCAAGATCATTCATTTAACTTAGTGCCTACTTTGTGTCAGGCACAGTGCTAGGTACTGGAAAATGACTTAAATGTACTGGGGATGGATTTAAATAGTGATACAGATGATATGATCTTGTATTTAGAAACCCCTAAAGACTAAACAAAAAACTGTTAGAATACATTCAGTAAACTTAACAAGAATACACACTCAACCTACAAAAATCAGTGGCATTTCTGTATACAACAACAAACTATCCTAAAAGGCAATTAAGAAAACAGTCCCATTTATAATAGCAACAAAACAAATTATCTAGGAATAAACTTAACCAAAGAGGTAAAAGACCTATACATTGATTATTGTAAACATTGGTGAGCAAAGTTAAATAAGACGCAGATACATGGAAAGACATGTTCATCAACTGGAAGAAAATAATACCACTAAAATGTTCACAATACCCAAAGGGATATACAAATTCAATGCTATCCCCATCAAAATCCCAATAGCATCTTTACAGAAACAGAAAAACCAGTCCAAAAATTCATATGGAGCTACAGAAAACCCCATATAACCAAAGTTGTCCTGAGCAAGAAGAACACAGCTGAAGACTTCACACTGCCTGATTTCAAAATATATTACAAAACTACAATAATCATACAGTATCAGACACACAGACCAGGGAAACAGAGAACTCAGAAATAAAACCACACATTTACTGTCAGCTGATCTTTCACAAGAGTGTCAAGAATACATAATGGAGAAAGGATAGTCTGTTCATTAAATGGTGCTGGGAAAACTGAATATCCATATGTAGATGAATAAACTAAACCTTCATCTCACACCATGTGCAAAACACAGCTCAAAATGGATTAAAGACTTCAATGTAAGAAGTGAAACTGTGAAAAAAAGAAAACAGAAAAGGCTTGACACTGGTCTAAGCGATGATTTTTTTGGATATGACACCAAAGCAAAGGCAAGAAAAGCAAAAATAGACTGCTTCATGGGACTACATCAAACTAAAAAGCATCTACACAACAAAGGAAACTGTGAACAGAGTGAAAAAGCAACCTACAAATGGGAGAAAATATTTGCAAACCATACAGTATCTGAAAGGAGATTAATAACCAGAGTATATAAGGAACATACAACTCAGTAGCAAAAAGGCAACCTTACTAAAAAGTGGACCAAGGACCTAAATAGATATTTTCAAAAGAAAACATACAAATGGCCAACAGGCACATGAAAAGATGCTCAATATCACTAATCACCAGGAAAGTGCAAATCCAAACTACAGTGAGATACTGCCTCACATCAGTTAGAATGGCTCTTGTCAAAAAGACAAAAGATAACAAGAAAAGGGAACCCTTGTGCCTTGTTGATGGGAATGGAAATTGGGACCACCATTAAGGAAAACAGTATGGAGGTTCCTCAAAAAATTGAAAACACAACCACCTTATGACCAAGCAATCCCCACATCTTTGGGTACATCCACAGGAAATGAGGTAAGTGCTGGAAGAGAGATCTGGGCTCCCATGCTCATTGCAGCATCCTTCTCAGTAGCTAAGATGCAGAGACACCTTAGACATCTTCTGATGGACGAATCGGTAAAGGGAATGTGAGATGCACACACACAGGAATATTACTCAGCCATAGAAGAGAAGGGAATCCTGCCATGTGTGACAGCATGGATGAACCTGGAGGACACTACACTAAATGAAATGAGCAGATATGAAAGGCAAATGCTGCATGATCTCACTTACATGTAAAATCTAAAATCGTCAAACTCATAGAGGCAGAGGGTAGAATAGTGGTTACCAGGGGCTGTGGGGAAGGAAAAGGGGGGAGAAAATAGTCAAAGGGTACAAAGTTTCAGTTATGCAAGATAAAGAAGTTCTGGAGATTTACTATACTGCACGGTGTATTTTTTCAGCTTTATTGAGATATAATTGACAATGATAAAATATTTAAAATACATTATGATGATTTGATACATATGTACTTTGTGAAAGGATTCCCCACATCTGGTTTAATTTACATATCCCTCACCTCATCACAGTATGTATTGTGTATTTGAAATTTGCTGACAGGGTAGATCTGAAGTGCTCTCACCATACACACCCACAAAAAGGTAACTTTGTGAGGTGATGGTATGTTAATTACTATGACTGGTGATCATTTCACAACTTATATCAAAACATCAATATACAATTGTTGTTAAATCTCAAAAAAGCAATGAAAGATATAATGCAGACTGATGTTTGTCTCACACTTTTATTGGTTTTATAGATCTTATCCTCTTGAATAAAAATGAAAAGTAAAAACAGGTCTATTGTTGATCAGATTTCCTTGTGAACACATTTGACTCTCACGTGGCAGAATTAAAGTTGTAATCACTGAAATTCAGGGAGCCTTCTTTTCTATCTATTCTGAGTTAGATTAATATGACTAGAAGTCCTAGAGCTTATAAATTTGTAGAATGTTCTCTTCACATTAGTGAACTCATTCATTCAACAAATGCTTATCGAAAACCTGTTGTGTGGTGGCACAGTGATGGATAGTAGACATTTGATGATGAATAATGATAATAATATAATGAGAGGTATCACTAAAGAGGATGTCATATATGAGAATCATGTGGGGAAAGAAGAGGCTGAAGACCCCTGGAAATAAGCAATGGAGAAAGAAATGAATCCATTCACTGCAAATGAAGGACACCAAATGCTTATTTGAAGATGAGCGATGGAAACTCTCAAAGAGGAAAGCAAACACAGAATTAAGTCATTGGATACCTATAATGTTCCCATCCCAAACAATATTTGAAAACAACAGTTCTTTGTTAATAATTAAGACAGGTGTATCGTTTGCAGGGACAGTTGGTCATTATGTGATACTCAGCACAGAGCTAGGGATCTGCCTCTTTCCTATGATGAGCCTATGGAGATTCTTGTTATGTAAATGTGAGTAGGTGGCAGCTGGCTTTTGGTTCAATGACATTTTCAGCATTTCTTCTTTTTTTACTAATAATTGCAAATTCTGAAGCAAAGCCTTTCCAAAACCTTAATTATGAATTGTATTCAATATACAAAGTTCTGGACCTTTTAATGAGCTGCCTTGTGTTGTAGCTGTTGTTACTAATGATAATGATGGTGATGTAATTTTGTTGTTGGTGAGGTTGTACAAATAAAAGAGACAAAAGGGTGAAAGAAAGACAGAAAAAGTGTATAATTTTAGGCTTAAAGTCTAACGAGGGAGAGAGAAACCAAAAAGGTGGAACATGAGAGAGGTATTCCACCCATCCAGAACAAAGTGTATAGAGAGGTGATGGAGTTTTTGCCTCATCAGTAGATGAGTAGAAGTTATTAAGACCTACATGGATTTTGCAGCAAAGTATTTGTAAACACTTTAAGATGAGTAAAATATTGTTGGGAAATTAAGTAGTTAAGTATGATTGAATAGAGAGGTATAAAAGAAAAGTAAGTGTTGAGGTTTTAGAAATAAGTAAGCATAGCAGCTCTTCATACTAGCCAAAAGTAACCCAAATATATTCAATCAGTAATAAAAAGGATAAAGAAATCTTGATATGCTTGTACAATGGAAAACTATACTGTAATGAAAAAATGAGCCACAGATACCACCCAGCAACATGAATGACTATCAGTGTGTGGAGCAAAAAAGTCAGATGCATAAGATTATATACAGTAAACACAGCAAAAATAGTTGTAAGAGGGAATATCATAGTGATACAGGCCTATCTCAAGAAAGAGGAAAAACTCCAAATAAACAATCTAGCTTTTTGCCTAAAGGAACTAGAACAAAAAGTATGAATGAAGCCCAAAATTAGTTAAAGGAAGGAAATAATAAATATCAGAGCAGAAATAAATGAAATAGAGACTAAAAAAAAAAGGAAGAGATTAATAAAACTAAAAGCTTGTTCTGTGAAAAGGTACAGTGCAGGAGAGTGTTGAGTGAGAGAAAAAAGCAGTTCAGAATTGTGAAAAACCATAGGCAGTCAGGGGATTATACAAAAAGAGAAACATGTAGAAGGCACTGAGGAAGAGGGGCTGGGAAAGAGAACCGTAGGGGTTAGGAGAGAGGAAGATTTTGGAAAGCAACAGTGGTCAACAATGACAAATGCGACAGAGTCCTGTAGGATAAAGACTGACAGTGTCCATTGAGTTTAGCAGCAAAGCTCATTGGTGACCTCAGGGAGGGCCATTTCTGATAAGAAATGTTCTGAACCATTGGTTAAGATGATGGTGTTGTGTTTGATTCTGGTACTAGATCGAAAACTCCTTTAGACTAATAACTATCTCATTAGTCTTTTATCCCCACTACTTCTTCATAGTGTCTCATACTTGATATGCAGTTGATAAATGTTTGGAAGGATGGACACATGGACGGAGTGGACAAATTGAATGGATGGACAGAGGAAAGAAGGGAAGGAGGGAGGAGGGGAGAGGAAATAAGTTGGGAAGGGAACGAAGTTAAAGAAGGAGGGAGGAAGGAGGGAGGGAAGGACAGAGCCATGGTTGGTGGCCTCCTACCTTCTTTTCATCTTACTCTTGTCTCAGGTTCCACGATTACTGCTGAAATCCAGGGGGTGATCGATGCCTGTGTCAAGCTCACTGGAATGCCAGACCTTACATTGTCCTTCATGGTAAAATCCTGGATCAGAGACTGAGTTGTTGGGATGGGAAATCATATGCTTCTGGAAAGACAGAGTGGTGAGATGGGATGGAACATGAAATAGTTGAGGACAGCAGCAGAGCTTATATTAGGCCAGATTTCCTATAAATAACTACAGTGTGTGTGTGTGTTAATATAAACAGCATCTAAATTACTTTCCTGAAAGAAATATGGGTGTTTAATTCCCACTTCTTGCTCCTCCTTGCCTGGTGACTGTAGAACCCCAGGCTGTTGGATGATGTCAGCTTCCATCCTTGTGTCCGTTTCAAGCGCTGGGAATCTGAGCGTATCCTGTCCTTCATCCCTCCTGATGGAAACTTTCGCCTGCTCTCTTACCATGTCAGTGCACAGAAGTAAGCAGTCCTTATAATTAAGAGTGGTGTGTGTGTGTGTGTGTATGTGTGTGCAAACAATACCCATAGCGGTTAAGAATTCAGTCTCTGCAGTTAGTAGGGTTCAGATTCCAGCTTCTGTGCTTACTAACTAGGTAACCTCAGGTGAGTTGCTTAACCTTTGTGTCTGTTTTCTTATGTGTAAGTTGAAAATAATGGAATTACCTTATTATGAGGATTAAATAAATAATGCTTAACACCAAGTAAGTGCTTATTACATTTGTCTTGTTACTTTTGGTATTGTTTTTATTATATATTTGTAAATATATTTATATATTATTGTGCTGTTTTGTTATTATATGTCTAAACAAGAACGTTTTTTTCTTAAATTGGAATCTGAGTACACCTGTATTCAACCTCCCTTACCCAAAAGAGCACTGAATTATGCTGTGAAAAAACACAAATGCAGTGATTTTTGGTCCTGAATATTCTCTTTAATATAGAGTGTAGGGGCTCTTGGAGGCCCTTGGTAGAAGGCATGTGGACTGAAGAGAGTCATGAGACCTCAGAGCTGCCAATACTGTGTGATTTGGGGGAAATAATTCACGAAAAGGACTGAATACTTGAGAGCCAAGGCTCTGGCATCAGGTTGCCCGCAGTTAAAGTCCACCTTCAGTACTTATGATGTGCAACCCTGCACGAGCTGCACAGCCTCAGGGAAGAGCGGCGAGCCTTCGCCTGTAGGTCTGGGTGGCAGCTGTGCCTGCCTCATCCCCACTGGGGGCATTAAACAAGACCATGGAGATCAAGCACTGGGCAGAGTGCTGGCCCCCAGGAAGTGCTCAGCAGAGGTCGAGAACTGCTACTATAATATTGCTCTGCAACCTCTCAGTTTCCTCTTTTGTAAAATCGTGATGACCTGCCCTACCTCCTCAGGTTTCTGTAAGGCTCACATGGGCCAGGCAAACACCATGACAAGAAATTATAAATTTCATTGGTGAAAGAGGAAAAGCTGCTAACAGGGCAAAAAAAAGCATAGTGTAAGAGGAGGAAATGTTGCTATTTTCCCAGTACATTAATGAAATGAGCTTTTGTGTCTCTTCCAGCCTGGTGGCAATTCCAGTGTATGTCAAACACAGCATCAATTTCCGGGACAGTAGTTCACTTGGACGCTTCGAAATAACAGTGGGACCTAAGCAGACTATGGGGAAGACCATCGAGGGAGTGATTGTCACCAGCCAGATGCCCAAGGGGGTCCTGAATATGAGCCTCACTCCATCTCAGGGGACACACACCTTTGACCCAGTCACCAAGGTAGGAGCAAGTGTGGGAGGCTTGGAATTGCCGACGTTAGACAGAGGTAGAACAGCAATAACCCTGCACCCAGGCTCTCTGCCCTGCTGAAAGGCGAGATTAGGCAGAGGGACGTTGTTTTTCTCCTTGAGATCGTTTATGGGAACAAATGGTATTCTCCACTGAAGAATGTTGCAGAGGCAACCAATAATATTGTGCACAGCAGACCCCGTGAGGTTAGAGCTTGCCACCTCAAGTGAAGTGTCACTGGGACGTCTTTTTTTTCTTTGAAGATGCTGTCTTGGGATGTAGGAAAAATAAATCCCCAAAAGCTACCAAGTTTGAAGGGGACCATGAGTCTTCAGGCTGGAGCTTCCAAGCCGGATGAGAACCCCACGATTAACCTGCAGTTTAAGATCCAGCAGCTGGCCATTTCCGGTGAGTGGGTGCACGTGGAGGCAGCTTTGCTGAGAACAGAAATGGCTCTCTCTGGCCCGGCTCAGACCGCAGACAGCCTTCTGGGGCTTCCCACTTACAGAGTTTTGGTTTCATGACCTGACATGTAAGCTTCAGTAAGATCTTTTCTAGCACATTTCTGGCAAAAGTTTATAATCCTTGTTTTGAAGCTACCTTAAGTGACCTGAACCAAAGCGTGTGAGACCCAGGTGAGAAAGCAGAGCCGTGGAAGGCAGAGAGCCTGCTGGAGCTGCCGCATCATCCCAGGCTGTCAGTTTGGGTTCCCAGGTTTGCAGACAGTAACACTTCTGCATTCTCAGCTGGCACTGAAAAGGCTAATTTCCCCTCCTTGCCCCCATTTCTGAAGACAGCCTCATTTGCTTTCATCACTTGGAACAAGTTAGTCCTCTACAGCCGACACCCGCCTTGGGGTGGTAGTCCTAACATTAGCACTTATTCTGTGCCAGGCCCTGTTGTAATAAGTTCTTTGCATCTATTTTCTTATTTAATCCTTGGAACAACCTTGTAACAGAGACAGGAGGTGCCTTCAGCTTTATATGAAGTTCATTTTTCTCACAGACCTTGTCTAATTTTTTTAAATTAAGGCATCACTGATACACAATCTTACCAAGGTTTCATATGAGCAACATTGTGGTTTCAGCATTCATCCATATTATCAAATATCCCCCACACCCCATCGCAGTCACTGTCCATCAGCATAGTAAGTTGCTACAGAGTCATTACTTGTCTTCTCCATGCTGTACTGCCTTCCCCGTGACCTGCCTATATTGTGAGTGCTGATTACAGGGCCCCTTAATCCCGTTTTCCTTCCCTCCTCACCCACCCTTCCCCTTTGGTAACCACTAGTCCCTTCTTGGGTTGTGAGTCTGCTGTTGTTTCGTTCCTTCAGTTTTGCTTTGTTGTTATACTCTACAAATGTGTGAAATCATTTTGTACTTGTCTTTCTCTGCCTGGCTTATTTCACCGAGCGTAATACCCTCTAGTTCCATCCATGTTGTTGCAAATGGTAGGATTTGTTTTCTTCTTATTGCTGAATAATATTCCATTGTGAATATGTACCACATCTTTTTTATCCATTCATCTACTGATGGACACTTAGGTTGCTTCCATTTCTTGGCTATTGTAAATAGTGCTGCGATAAACATAGGGATGCATATTTCTTTTTGAGACTGGGAAACTGCATTCTTAGGGTAAATTCCTAGGAGTGGAATTTCTGGGTCAAATGGTATTTCTATTTTTGGTTTTTTGAGGAACCTCCATACTGCTTTCTACAATGGTTGAACTAATTTACATTCCCACCAGCAGTGTAGGAGGGTTCCCCTTTCTCCACATCCTCACCAACATTTGTTGTTGTTTGTCTTTTGGATGGTGGCCATCCTTACTGGTGTGAGGTGATATCTCATTGTGGTTTTAATTTGCATTTCTCTGATGATTAGGGATTTGGAGCATCTTTTCGTGTGTCTGTTGGCCATCTGAATTTCTTCTTTAGAGGAGTGTCTTTTCAGCTCCTCTGCCCATTTTTTAATTGGATTATTTGCTTTTTGTTTGTTGAGGTGTGTGAGCTCTTTATATATTTTGGATGTCAAGCCTTTATCAGATATGTCATTTATAAATATATTCTCCCATACTGTAGGATGTCTTTTTGTTCTACTGATGGTGTCCTCTGCTGTACAGAAGCTTTTCAGCTTGATATAGTCCCAACTTGTTCATTTTGCTTTTGTTTCCCTTGCCCAAGGAGATGTGTTCAGGAAAAAGTTGCTCATGTTTATGTCCAAGAGATTTTTGCGTATGTTTTGTTCTAAGAGTTTTATGGTTTCATGATTTACATTCAGGTCTTTGATTCATTTCAAATTTACTTTTGTATGTGGAGTTAGACAATAATCCAGTTTCATTCTCCTACATGTGGCTTTCTAGTTTTGCCAACACCAGTTCTTGAAGAGGCTGTCATTTCACCATTGTATATCCATGGATCCTTTATCATATATTAACTGAACATACATGTTTGGGTTTATATCTGGGCTCTCTAGTCTGTTCCATTGGTCTATGGGTCTGTTCTTGCCCCAGTACCAAATTGTCTTGATTACTGTGGCTTTGTAGTAGAGCTTGAAGTTGAGGAACATAATTCCCCAGCTTTATTCTTCCTTATCAGAATTGCTTTGGCTATTTGGGGTCTTTTGTGGTTCCATATGAATTTTAGATCTATTTGTTTCAGTTCATTGAAAAATGCTGTTGGTATTTTGATAGGAATTGCATTGACTCTGTAGATTACTTTAGGCAGGATGGCCATTTTGACAATATTAATTCTTCCTGCCCAAGAGCGTGGGATGTATTTCCATTTATTAGTGTCCTCTTTAATTTCTCTCATGAGTGTCTTGTAGTTTTCAGAGTATAGGTCTTTCACTTCCTTGGTTAGGTTTATTCCTAGGTATTTTATTATTTTTGATGCAATTGTAAATGGAGATGTTTTCCTGATTTCTCTTTCTGCTAGTTCATCATTGGTGTATAGGAATGCAACAGATTTCTGTGCATCAATTTTGTATCCAGCAACTTTGCTGAATTCAGATATTAATTCTAGTAGTTTTGGGGTGGGTTCTTTAGGGTTTTTTATATAAAACATTATGTCATCTGCAAACAGTGACAGTTTGACTTCTTCCTTACCAGTCTGGATGCCTTTTATTTCTTTGTGTCATCTGATTGCCGTGGCTAGGACCTCCAGTACTATGTTGAATAAAAGTGGGGAGAGTGGGCATCCTTGTCTTGTTCCTGATCTTAGAGGAAAAGCTTTCAGCCTTTAGCTGTTAAGTATGATGTTGGCTGTGAGTTTGTCATATGTGACCTTTATTATGTTGAGGTACTTGTCCTCTGTACCCATTTTGTTGAGAGTTTTTATCATGAATGGATGTTGAATTTTGTCAAATGCTTTTTCAGCATCTATTGAGAGTATCATGTGATTTTTGTCTTTCTTTTTGTTGATGTGGTAGATGATGTTGATGGATTTTCAAATGTTGTACCATCCTTGCATCCCTGGAATAAATCCCACTTGATTATGATGGCTGACCTTTTTGATATATTTTTGAATTCGGTTTGTTAATATTTTGTTGAGTATTTTTGCATTTATGTTCATTAGGGATATTGGTCTGTAATTTTCTTTTTTTGTGCTGTCTTTGGTTTTGGTATTAGAGTGATGCTGGCCTCATAGAATGAGTTTGGAAGTATTCCCTCCTCTTTTACTTTTTGGAAAACTTTAAGGAGGATGGGTATTAGGCCTTCTCTAAATGTTTGATAAAATTCAGCAGTGAAGTCATCTTAGACCTTGTCTAATTTAAGTGTTTAGAAAGGTCTTTCATCTTAAAGCACTTAATAACCTTTGAAGGTCTATATAGTCAGTATAAAATGTTTTTTGCTGAGTATGGTGAGAATGTTTAAGAAATATCTGTTTATTAATTCATTGTCTTTAATTATTCATTCATTTAGTTCTAGTTTATTTCATTATTAATTCATTAATTTTGTTACTAATGATTCATATACTCAGTCCAGTAACATAGGAAAACAGAGCAGTCATACATTTTCCTTACCCTCATTTCAGTCTGCATGTAACCTTCTGCCTTTTCTACTTCAGAAATAGGTCTTCTAATAGCATTGCTCTCATGGGGACATTTTTTATTAGTAGTATATGTACCCAGAGTGAAGAGTCTGTCAGATTCACAGAAGTGATATAAAAATGTGAAAGTATTTTTCTGGTTTACTATTACAACTGTGTCTGTCCCACTGGTCTCTCTGAATTGAAATGACTTTAAATGGCTATGCTACCTGCTTCTTTTGAATAATGCATATGTCTTATTCTTCCTTCTCTCCAGGACTTAAAGTGAACCGTCTGGATATGTATGGAGAAAAGTACAAGCCCTTTAAGGGCATAAAATACATGACCAAAGCTGGGAAATTCCAAGTTCGAACCTGATAAGGGAGAGTTTTGCAAAGAGAACAGTCACGACACTTTTTCATTTCTTACTTGTCTAAAAGTAAAAATGTCAGCCTGTCTCCTAGGTCAGTATCCCCTCTGGACCCACCCACTCCCTTCTTTCCTTTGCCTTCAGTGCCATGGGACTAATCAGGGAAGAGAAGGGTCTCAGGGAGGGCTAGGCAGAACGGAAGCAGCCCTGCTCTCAGGAGAGGTGCGGGGCCCGTAGGAGGTGCTCGATGCCATATTGACCCCGTCTGGTGTGGTTACCATAGAAAGAAGGCTGGCATTGTTGCTAGCTTGGCTTTAATTATTTAAAGCCAATGAAAGCCCTCTTTGTTTTGTGTTTTAAGGTGGAAAGAAAGATTAGAAAGCAAGCAACCTTGGGAGAAAATGAATGCAGTCAGGGAAAGGCCAGTGAAGGATGTGATGTGTTAGAGCAGGGGGAGGAGTGGCCCTGAGCGGAAGTGCAAGGTGAGCGGCCAGCTCCACGCAGAGGGGGCATGTTGGTGAGGGGGAGAGAGTTGAGTGACGTTCCTGATGTGCTTCCTGGTCCCTCTGCTCTCACGTTTAAAAACACAGCATCTGCATTTCTAGGAATGAGGTGGAGACCTCCTAAACTCAGGTCCACTTCTGACTTGGCAAACCCAGTAAACCCGATTTCCCCTCAAGACCGTGGCGACTGCGGTTTTCAGGTGCTGCCTGCTGCTCGCCCTCAGCGGGGTCTGCTGGCCAGGGAGGTGACCTGCCTCTTCCCAGTGGTGGGGAGTGCCTGAAGCGCCTCTTCCCCTCACTCAGAACAAGTCAACTCACCTTCCTTTCCAGAATTCTCCAACCTTTTCCCTGATCCTGAGGAGAGTTTCAGAAGAGCCAGGCCCTTCAGCCCCCCGGGTAGCCTGATTTTCCACGTCCCAGTACTGGAGTGTAGACAGCTTGCTCCCTCCTCATGAAGGGGCTCCACTGCCGTGCGCACGGATTCCTCGGGGCCGGACGGGTATGGAGTCTAAGCCTGCTGTCTGCAGCTTTCCCACTGATCACCCTCAGTAAAGACGATGCTTACTGTGAGGGCATAGTGGATCCTGGAAGCTGCTCGGTAAGGGGACTCCCTTAGAGTCTTTTGTACTCTATAGTTTATTTATTAACAATATGTATCTATTATCCCATTTTTGTTTTAAGGCCAAAATTTTTTAAAGCCCTAATTTTTTAATAAAATTCCCATTGCAGGAAGATGGGCTATGTCAGCTATGTGTGACACAGTATAAGACACAAGGCAGCTGAAGGAGCACCCCCGGCTTTCCCAGTGGGTAGCTTTTATTCTAGTTCAATATGCCTGTTACCCACATGTCTATATACAAGACAGGTTTTTTAAATTATAGCTTAAGGAGGTATATTGTGCTCTGCTTTGTGCATGGAGAAAAATGAAGATCTACTCACTCCGAACCCTACAATTTTTCTCTAAATCCCTATTTCCAAACACTTAAGCAGTTTTATATGCTTTGCTAGTTTTTTCTTCCCAATTCCTGGACTTGTTTGCTGCTAAGTAATTTTGTGGTTTTCCTCTGGGATAAGTTGTGCTGTGTACACCCACATGTGTCTCCTACTCCATCACACCAGAATTTGTCCTGGAATACTGTCCCATCCACACACACACACACACACACCAGGGTAGGGGACCATCTCTGCCTGTGGACTTGGAATACTTGATTTACTTCTCCTGAGGGCTCCGAAGGACCTTAAGGTTTCCTAGGTTACAGGGAACAACCAAGTTGGTCCCTGGATATGTTTAAGTTTATAAGTCCAGCTGTTTTTCCTGCAAGGCAGCTTATCCTAGTTTCATGGGAAGTGCTTAAGGAGAAGTGGGTTATCTAGTGCATGGAACCCTCAGGCCTCAGCATATAAAGTAACTGTCATGTCACCAGGTAGTGACCCCGAGCACAGTGGGGCACCATCACTAACACAGCGGTGTTAGCCTAAACGGTGCAGGGTGCCTAGCAAGCCATTTAGTTCCGTGTGTGTTCAATAGGTACAGAAGTATTTTCTTTGTTTAAATCTTAATAAAGTTGCATTTCACCAGTCCTCTGTGGACTAAGTGTTTTGTTGCTAGGACTGACAGCACTGGGTCATGCATGCCCAGTAGAAGAGTAAGAAATAAATCAATTCAGGAGGATCTTACTACTTTTGCATGTTTCAACCAGCAGACCTAAAACCACCTGTGGGGTTGGATTGTCTAGTCACCCCTGGAAGATAGAAGATATTAGTATTAATGTCATTTTTAAGGTTGTAAGAATGAAGATCCAGATCACATTCATCCTCAGTATAGAAGACAGAGCCATTTAAGCTGCTGAAATGTGTTCTAATGTTTTCCCCATTCTCTTGGTCTTAGGTTGATTAACTCAGGCATGAAACGGGGCTTCACAGTTCTAGATGTCTTAACTGTGGTAGAGATGTCCTGGTAGCTAAGACACCGGGAGTCTTTGTGAAATGACACTGGTTGTTACCCCATATCTGTCCTAATTCCCTTCTGTAAATCCCTCATGGCCACGAAGAGGCTTTGAGACCTCTGCTTGCTAACCATGAGTGTTAGTGTTTATTAATACTCCATCCTGTCTTAGGTGTAAAAATCTCTCTTCCCTTGTTGGGTTGTTTTGGGCTCATTGTGTGACCAGGTCCATTTTATAATCCTTGTACTTTCCTCCATGGCCCATAGGTGGTGACTCAGGGCCAGCAATGATTAAATTTTTTAAGTGTTAGAATTTTAAAAGGGGAACTGAATTTGAAACTTAAAGTTTCCCTCCCACATCCTAAGTACTGAGGATTATGTGAGGCTTTGGCTTTAAAGTTAAATGTGCAACCAAAGGTTCCTGACACTCTTTCTGACAACAAGACTTATGACAGGCTCTAGGAGGGTAGCAGTTTGAATCATCTGATCCCTGTTAAAACTAACCGCACAATTCCCTAAGAATCTTCCTTGTTCTTTGGGTCTGTTACCATCTATCTGTTTTATTAACCAGCTGAGGATAATGAGGAAATACTTTTAATTCCCCTTTATACCTGTTCGCTTCCCCTGACAAGCTCCAGATATATTACCCTGAATTTTCTAACCCACATTGGGTGAGGACGCGCTGCCCTCTGCATGTATTTTAACAGAATCGAGTGAATCTGCCTTATGGGGCTGGGTCTCTGCCCAGTACCAGTCAGTGACTTCTTTGAACGTCGTCTTCATCCAGGCTGTGGTTTCCAAGACTTCACTCAGAGGAATGTGGGAGCCTTTTCATTTTGCATTTCCATCCCAGGAGGCCTCGCTGCTTCAGTTCGTTTCATTAACCCCACTATCTGAAGAAAAGCTTGTCATGCCAGGGGGAGGGGATGGAATTGCTGAGTTCCTGCCAGAGCCACAGGAGCTCTGAGCCAGAGTCCTCAAACAATGTGTTTCTGAAATGGCTGAAATGCACATCTTTTAAAATAAAATCCACCTCACGCACAGGGAACCTTGCAGATGAGCAGTCCAAGAAATCTGTGCCCTAACTTTCTGTGATCCACGTTTATTTAACTGGCCCAGGGGGCTTTGAGGGTAGCTGTTTTTTTCCCCCTGAATCAAGCTCTCAGGCTTTATAGAGTCAATTTCTTTTGTGAATTGAAATGGCTTTCTTCAGAGAACTCTGAAGAGACAGAGACAACTACACACAACTTTGCTCCTCCAAGTAACTGTCAGCACATGGCCGACAGCGAGCACTGCACCATCAAACTTAGTCTTGGATCTGGGGCATCAGTGATAACAAAACCTGGCAGGCTGCAGCCAGGAACACAGCCTGCCTCTTAGGAGTCATTAAGGCAGAGGCCTCAGAGAAGCAGGAAGCCGCATTCCTTGGGTAACACAGTAAGGACTGGTCTGGAGTTCATTCTTTCCAATCAACAGGAAAGCGAAGTAGAATGGGGAAGAAAGAAGTGGCTCGAATACTAGCTTCTAGGCCAAGCTAGCAATTGGGACACTGTTAGTTAGCCTTGGTTCTTACCTCGTGCCCCCGACCTCGTCTGCTCTGTCCAGCCACCATGTGGCTGATGTTCCTAAGGCAAACTTAGTCCATCACTGCATTTAAGCGAAAGGCTCTGGGACTCCTGTGCCTGCAGAATTAAGTCCACAAACAAGTTTGGCAACCGAGGCACCATAATCTAAACTGTGATCCTCCTGGAGCTTCAGCTACTTCTTGATTTTTCCCCTGCCTTTTTTGCTCTCTAGCTCTTTATGATTCCTTTTAGTAATAGTCTTCAAGAATGCCTTTCCCACACCTCTCTACCAGTCCTCATTTTGCACAATTTTCGAAAGTCCCCCCCTAATTGTTTTCCCCTTAAGATTCCCTAGTCCTTCCTGCATCTGAATTCCAGTAAAAGTTTCTCTCTGCCACTTTGTGGTCCATCCCCATTTGTAACTCTGGAGGTAAAATATGTTCCCAGCCCAGGGCAAATAAACTTTGAAGCTGAAATCAGTCAAAGGGAGAAATAAGTGGGGGAAACCCGCTTATTGCTTACAAGCCAGACGTCTATTTCTCACCCGTGTCTCTTGTGACCTGCTGCAAAGACCCCAACAAACCTCTCCTGTTCAGGGGTGCACTGGCTCCCCACCCACCTTGTAATCACCTATTGATATGGAGATGATACTTTTCTCCACCCCATAGAAACACCTATTGATATGGAGATGCACCAAGGCCAAATGAGAGATTTTGGAAATACTGTTTTACCCACAGCATTCTACCTTGTTTTTAAGTACCTTACTTTACTGTCAAACCAAGAACTCCATTCTTCCCCATTTTTACTGTCCGTAGCACCTAGCACATTGCCTTGAATGTAGCAAATACTCTATACATGTTGATTAAAAAGAAATATTTCAAATGATTTGAAAAATGTGTACACAAAAGATGGCAGTGTGAGTGGAGAGACAGAGGCTTCCTCCTAAAACTGGATACAATTAGAAAATATAGTTGGTGCAACTAATCCTGAGACAGTAACAAGAAAGAGGATGGCACCAGACTGCATACACCTGGAGAAAAGAGCAGACCTCACGGAACAGGGTAACATACCAAAGCTGTGGCCCTGCCAGACCCGAGCCCCTCCCCCACCCCAGCTCACCGGGGCGGGGAGAAAGAGAAATGGAGCAGGGAGGGAGTGAAAGGCCTGGGACTGCTGAATACCTAGCTCCAGAGATCTGCTCTGGGAGCACAAACCTACATTTAATGGTGCTTTCATGATACTCGCATGACTACCGGGTTGGAAAGTTTACATACAGGCAGAATTCCTGGAGAGACTGAGATACCAGCTGCTTGTGGAAAACAGGGATCCGTATCTGGCTGCTCTGGGACAAAAGCTTATACCTGTGTGCTCTGCCCACTGGCTTAGGCAGAGGAGACAGGCACAGCAGCCGGGAGGCAGGGAACAGCTCTTTCCTCTTCCCAGGCACCAATAGAGCTCCCCTGTGACTCCCAACATTGCTTCAGGGGCTGAGCAGCTCCAGAGTAGAGCTTCTGGATACTAGAGGGCGCCATATACAAACATGAAATGCCAAAGGAACCTTGTCCAGAGTAAAATTAATATAACCCCAGAGAAAGATTTAAATGACATGGACCTTACGACTCTTCCTGAAAGGGAGTTCAAAGTAAAAATCATCAACATGCTAATGGAGGTACGGAAAGATGTCCTAGAACTCAGGAATGAATTCAGGTCGGAGATCCAATTGCTGAAGAGCATGATGGAGGGTATTAAATCAGGTTGGATATAGTGGAGGAGACGATAAATGAAATAGAAACTAGAGAACAGGAATACAAAGAAGCTGAGGCACAGAGAGAAAGAAGGATCTCTAAGAATGAAAGAATATTGAGAGAACTGTGTGACCAATCCAAACGGAACAATATTTGCATTATAGGGATACCAGAAGAAGAGAAAGAGAAAGGGATAGAAAGTGTCTTTGAGGAAGTAGTTCCTGAAAACTTCCCCAGTATGGGGAAGGAGATAGTCTCTGAGGACATGGAGATACACAGATCTCCCAAAACAAGGGACCCAAGGAAGACAACACCAAGACATATAGTAATAAAATTGGCAAGGATCAAGGATAAGGACAGACTATTAAAAGCAGCCAGAGAAAGAAATAAGATCACATACAAAGGAAAGCCCATCAGGCTAAAATCAGACTTCTCAGCAGAAACCTTACAGGCCAGAAGGGAGTGGCATGGTGTATTTAATGCCATGAAGCAGAAGGGCCTGGAACCAAGATTATTTTATCTGGCAAGATTATCATTTAAATTTGAAGGAGAGATCAAACAATTTCCAGATAAGCAAAAGCTTAGAGAATTTCCCTCCAACAAACCACCTCTACAGTCTATTTTGGAGGGACTGCTATAGATGGAAGTGTTGCTAAGGTTTAATAGCTGTCATCAGAGAAAATAAAACCACAGTAAACAAAGCAGAACAGCTAATTACTAAGCAAATGCAAAATTAAATTAACTATCCCCAAAGTCAATCAAGGGATAGGCAAAGAATACAGAATATGATACCTAATATATAAAGAATGGAGGAGGAAGAAAAAGGAGG